GGAAGAGAGTAGCCAGTTGTGTTCCTTTCCATACCAGGAACAAGTCCAGAGTGAATTTTCTGTGGATTTTCCTGGGTACCAACTCATGGTGCTTAGGACACTGTAGCCTTGTTTCTTACAGGGAAGAAAGAGGGCACAAAACTGGAGAAGACCCACGTCTGCTGCCATGAAAACCCACCTGTGGTTCAGAGAGTGTGTCTACCCTGACCAGGTCAGACTCTGCTGAACTCTGATTATGCCTTTAGAAAATAGGATAGAAGGCTGAGAGATTTAGGTTACAGTTTGCCTGGCTGCCTTCCAAGGTACCATGCCCAGCTTCGTGAGCAAGTAAAGGTGCCAAATGTTTTCCAGCTGCCTTAGGAAAATATGTCTTTATTTTGCTTCTCACTAGGCCACCTCTTATTTTGGTAGGGGGGAGGGAAAGGCAGCTACCAAGCAGTTTCATCATCCTTGAAGTCTGAACTGAGCCTTCTCCTAGTCTACCCAGCTCACTCATACCAGCTGATTGTCACTGCCCCTGATTAGAAGGAAATAGCACACTGCTTAACCTGGTATTTAGCCCACTCTCATCTGTGTATTTAAGCCTATAATTTCACTTCCATCTTTATGGACTCCTTCATTAGTGAAGGAGTCTTCCTGGAGATTATATTTCATGTCTTGTGCTTCAATCCCCCTACAAGTTGGATTTTTCTATTATTGGCCTAGATTTCTTTACTTTCCATAATCCTTATCCTGCTAATTTTGTTACGAGTGGGCTTGAATTGTATCCAGTTCTTGTCTAGAGTCACAATGAAAGATGTGATCTAAGAAACAAACATGTGCAGCAAAGCAGTGAAGTTTGTTCAAAGGAAAAGTCAATGTCAAGGGAAACAGAGGGCTCCAGACAAGCAGCTCAAAGCGCTCCCATCCAGGGTTATTTTCTAGGGATGGTTTTGAGGCCATCCCCTATGAGAAGTAACTAAGCTAATTAGGGCTTGAATGACAGGTATGGTTATGTAGCAAGCTATATTATATGTGTGCTGAATGCTCATCCCCAGATGTTTAAGTGGAAACATGAGATACAAGTCATCTACTTGAGCTGTTCAGTGGAGGAGTGACACTTCAAATTACTTGAGCACGCAAGCAAGACTGTGCATGCCTTGAGGACTGTTTAAAGCCAGTCATTTGTATTTTTAAAGATTTTTTTAAATTTTAATTTTATTGTCAAGGTGATGTACAAAGGGGTTACAGCTACATACATAAGGTAGTGAGCACATTGCTTGTCCCTTTCTATGCAAGATGCAGGGTGACTACACAAACTGCCAGACCATCCTCTAAATCTCCCAGTATGGGGTATTTCTGGGTAAACTGGGGAGTGGTTCCAGTCTATACCTGTCCTGTTGTCCTAGTTTCTGATCACATCTTCCCTGTCTGCCCCAGTTCCCTCTATCAGTTCCAACTGCCCACTGCTTAGTTTTTGCATAAATCGCTAGCTGATCCATCTTTAGTTTGCTGGGTATCAGGGACTTTTTCCTTTGTATATCACCTATGTTTCTTTGGAGGACTAGCAGTTTTTAAGAGCTCTCTTGTTGGCTCCTATCTCTGGGTACCATTCCCCCTCCCCCAAATAGCTGATTCTTAACTTGATTGCTTATTCTAAAATCTGGCCTCATCCTGACCCTGAGGATCTAATTGACTCTTTAATCGTTTATTTTTCCACTCTGGCTCATTTCACTGCCATCTAAACTCTGGTTCAAGAAGATTAAATCTGACAACTGAAAAGAAAGCTTAAAAACTCATTAATTGGCTTTCTCTTTGCAACTGTGTGGCCTTTTGTCTGCCTCTTCTAAAATTAATATTGCTTCTCATGAATTTAATGTGCTATATATATACATGTGTTTATGTTTGATGTTCATAAATCTTACAGCACTTACTATTTTTACATGACACTGGGAGATAAATCTTGAGATCTTTCTAATAACTGGTAAATTATTAGCTGACAACTGAGCTCTGCGTAGAATTCTGATTCTTTAATTTGCTAATAGCCTATCATAAGAACATAGGATTTGAACTTGAGCATAACAGGATTAATTCATCTGGGAACTCTGCTATGAATAGTTCCCGCAAACAGCATCCAGCAAGAACACGAAACTGTCCTTAATCAGCTTTAAAAATAACAATATCCCAGAGTGCTAGCAGCAACTTGTGCCCCTATTACTCATACATTTGTCCAGGTTTTTTATGAGTCTATTTGTGTTTCCTAAGAGAACCACTTCAACTGTGCTCTATTTGTGAAAAAAAAACACACACACACACACAGAGAGAAATAGGTACAGAGAGTGATAGAACAAGAGGAAATTATATTCTTTCTGCTAACAAAATGAAATAAAGGTATGTTTTGAGGTGGAAAAGCAGATGTAAATCTAATTTTGAAACATCTGTTATTTGCTTGGTATCTTTTGTGTGGCATGATGCAAAGGAAACAGACTTCAAACTCAGACATATCTACGTATAAGTTGCAGCTCTGTATTGTCTTCAAGCCCACTCTAAACTTCAGCTTCTTCATGTATAAAAAAATCATTCTAAAGGCTTATTGTTAGAATTGAAAGTAATAGGAGATCATGTGGTACTTAGTAGATGATAAGTCTATGGAGGAAGTAACAATAGTAATGATAGTTTAGTCTATACCATTTGGAAATATTCTTTTAATTATAAAAAAGACATATGAGTTGTGGGTTGGTGGCTTATTATTAATCCTAGCTATTCAGGAGGATGATACCTGAGAATTACAGTTTGAAGCCATCCCGGGAAGAAAAGTCTGTGAAACTTATCTCCAGTTAACCAGCAAAAGGCCAGACATGGAGGTTTGGCTCAAGTGGTAGAGTACTAGCTTTGAGTGGAAATGCTGAGAGTATGAGACTCTGAGTTCAAGCCCTGGTACTGGCATGTGCACACACACACACACACACACACACACACACACACCAAACTTGTCAGGAAGGAGGGAACTAAAGTAACACATGTTTCGTTTAGTCTTGGTAATATATAAGCAGCTCTATGCCAAGGCTCATAGTCTCCACCTGAGGTATCTAATGGTATAGCCATGTTGTCACTTATATTTAAAATAGCAAATTAAAAATTCAATTCCTCACTTGCATTTAACCACAGAGTCAATGCTCAAAAGCCACATGTGGTCAAGGGCTACATTGAATATAGCATATAGAGAATATTTTCATCATTGCTAAATTTGTGTTGAAAAATGTTTGGACTAGTCCCAGAGCCTCTGTGGGCTTTGCTGATACTGTCACAAAGCACCTACCTAAGGTTAGGAGATCCTCAACAGGGCTTGGAGATAAACATTTCCTATGCCTGATCCCTTCCCCTACCATGTCAATCAGTCTCTCTGCTCTTGTACCCTTATTTCACAAAGCAGTAAGGTATAGATCCATTTTTATGTCTTACTTCATGATATCTGTTCATTAAGTGCAGTTCTGATCTTCACCCATCTGATGCAGATGCAATGAGGCACATCTATAACCCCAGGTATTTTGAAGATGGAGAAAGATTATTGTTGGAAACCAGCCTGGGTAGAAGAGAGGGTCACAGTACATGCCTGTAACCCAGCTATGTTGGGAGACATAGGTAGAAGGATCATAGTCCAAAGTTAACAGCAAACAAGAAATGCAAGACCTTACCTGAAAAGTAACATAGATGCTAAAAGAGCTAGAGGCATGGCTCCAGTAGTACAGCAAACAAGGCCCTAAGTTCAACCTCAGTGCCTAAAAGAAAAAAATGATAAATAGGAAGGAAGGAAAGGAAAACTATTTTAACTGTTGGAAGAATAATATAAAACTTTCTGCAGGAATAATTGAGGTTTCAAATAAAAATGTCCGAAAGTCTCTTGCTATAGAATTTCAGGAGGAAAATCCCTGGTACCAGATTTCTGTAGTGTAGATTTTCTGTACTGTGTCATTTCAAAATGTGTATGTTAACCTAACCTCTTAGGTAACAGAATTAAAAAGTGCCCCTGTGAGGGCACACAGAAGGCCCATCATGAGGGTCAGGCTCTCACCAGATACCCAAGTCTGCCAGAGCCTTGATCTGGGACTTCTCAGTCTCTGAAAGTGTGAATAATAATTTCTATTGCTTGTAAACCACTCAGGCAGAGCAGTAAGGCACTTGCCCATAGGCATGAGGCCCTGAGTCTACTAGGTAGTTGAGTATTTCCCAGTTCCTTGTGACTCTGTTCTGGTTGTACCCAACTGGGTAGATTAGAACATGAACTATCTCTTAGAAGGATCATATTTTTAGAGATCAACAGATATGGCAATAGTGTATTAGCCTGGAAGTTTTAATTTTTTCAGAACATACTGTATGTCACATAAAACTAGTGTATCCCACACCATAGTGTGACCTATATAACAAAACTTCAAGTTCTGCTGTGAGGTTGACCATTTAGTCGTGTTTGATTCAAATGTGTCAAGGTGTTAACTGACTGGGAGCAGTACAGAGGTCAGAACTGCTTGCTCGGATCCTGTCAGGAAATTATTTTGCCTCACTGAAGTTGCTAAGCTTTCCATGTTCCTATTGCTGTAAGAGAGAAGATCTAATTTTGAGTGTGAGAGAGAAATGCAAGGTCGGTCACATAATAAAGAAAGGAGACATTTCCATTGTGTTGCAGACATTTAACTGGAATCCTTTGAGAGATGCAGACTCTTTAAATATAGCAGGCAAAGGCTGTAGCTAAAACAAGCACTTGGAGCGTGCATAACAAAAGAGATTTTTTTTTCTACATTCAAGGTGTTAAATGACAACCTTGTATAAAGTAGCCTAAGTCTAGAATCACACAGATAACACATTTAAAAAGAAATCAACATCCCGCGCACGTTGCTTGGCCTTCGGAGCCTTGTTCGTCCAGCGCGGCCCTTCGTATCGCCTCGCTTGTCGGTCGGAGGAGTCACTACCCCCACTGCAGCCTCCCTCCAAGAAATCCCAGACACCACCACCCCGCAGTCACCACCATGCCAAAGAATAAAGGTAAAGGAGGTAAAAATAGACGTAGAGGTAAGAATGAAAATGAATCTGAGAAAAGAGAGCTGGTCTTCAAGGAAGATGGACAAGAATACGCTCAGGTGATCAAAATGTTGGGAAATGGACGATTAGAAGCAATGTGTTTTGATGGTGTAAAGAGGTTATGTCATATTAGAGGGAAATTGAGAAAAAAGGTTTGGATAAATACCTCAGACATCATATTGGTTGGTCTCCGTGACTATCAGGATAACAAAGCCGATGTAATTTTAAAATACAATGCAGATGAAGCAAGAAGTCTGAAGGCATATGGCGAGCTACCGGAACATGCTAAAATCAATGAAACTGATACCTTTGGACCTGGGGATGATGATGAAATTCAGTTTGATGACATTGGGGACGATGATGAAGATATTGATGATATCTAGTTTGACTCAGCATCTTACATTCCAGTTTTTCTGATTTGTCCTGCAGTTTGAAATCCGGCAGTAACTCTTAAAGAAGATTCAAAACTTAATAGCATGATTGTAATTTGTTAAGGCAGATAGCCTTGTTACTAAGGTTCTTTAAAAACTGTTAACATTATGTTAAGACCACACTTAATTTAAAAGTTAAAAAAAAAAGCATTACTGCTTTTACTACTTTGATTACATCCAGTAAGTAAATTGATGTCTTGAATAAAAAAAAAAAAAAAAAAGAAATCAACATGATTTGGTGGTTTATCTAATGTGAAAATTCTTATCAGACTCAAATGAAAATTCTATAGTTGGGAGGAAAAGGTTATAATCCTATTGTATATTAAAGATGGAAAGCAATTAAATTAGTAAAATGTTATAATTAAATGTATAGGATCTATATATAATTAATATAATAGGATGTATATATACAATTAAATATATAGGATCTATAATGTGAATTTTTTGTTTTTCCAAATTACTTATTTCCTTAGAATCTTGTTAAAATTCATCTCTTATACAAAGATAGATGAAAATATTTTATTTCCGCCATTCTATCCATCAAGACATATATGGATTGGCTAGATCCCACTGATACTTGGATTTGGGATTGTAAACTAAATTGCAATATGAGAAAGACATTGTACTGTTACTGGTGGCTGGAGCGGCCTAGGTTGCCTGGAATCTGGATCAAAAAATTGATCCAAGCTGGGTGCTAGTGGCTCATAGTTATAGTGGCTAAGTTCAAAACCAGCTGGAGCAGAAAAATCTGGAAGACTCATCTCCAACTAACCAATAAAAAGATTGGAAGTGGAGGTGTGGCTCAAGTGGTAGACCACCAGCTGTGAGGGAAAAATCCCAAAGAAAGTAAAAGGGCCAGTGTTCAAGCCTCAGTACTGGTACAAAAATATAAAAATGGATCCAAGAGACAAAGAAGGAGTCACAACTCAGTAAAGCTCATTGAAAGCACAGTATAGTAGAAAGTACAGTAAGGAAGATGGCAGTAGTTAAGATTCCAGTTGATAAGTTTGGTTCATTTTTTATTCTCTAGGGATGGTTTTCTGGACATATACTATGAAGATTAATTAATTAGGGATTGATTGATCTATCTGGGTATGTAATTCAAGCTATACTGTATATGTGCTGAATGCTTATCCCGAGGTTTTTAATTAAATGCATGAGATGAATTGCATATTAATATATTGCATATTAATTGCATATATTAATTAACATCGATAGGCTGTTAAATGAGGAAAATACCTGTAAGACTAGCTGAGAACACAGGGAATGTTGCCCATCCCATGAAGACTGATAAGAACCAGATTTCTCCTTTTCACTTTTTACTTTTTAGCGTAATGTGATTGATCAAAAACTTCTGTGACAACCATAAAATATAAGAGGTGTTTCTGGGCAGTTCAGAAGTGGTTCAGTTCACATCTGTCTTGTTTGTCCTAGTTTCCAATCACATCTTCCCTGTTTGTCTCAGTATCTGATACTGGGACATGTTTTATTTACTCTGATTTGCTTTAACAAGACCTTCACTTCAGCTAACAGAACACATCAGTTATTGGATGGACACAGATTGGAACAAGAATTTCCACAAGTTACTGGTAGAGAGAAAAATGGATGGACTTACCCAGAAAGATTCTCACCCACATAAAAACATCTTAGTTTCCCATAAAGGAGGTAGATACTATCATAAAGCAAGCCTGTTTTATGGAAAGCCACATCGTCAGGCAGTGAACTCTCAATAAGCCATGTCTGCAAAAAATTCCTTCATTGTGATCCATTATTGAGGAGCCTTGTTTTTATATTTTTGCTTCACCTCAACATCATAGTAAGCATCAGCACTGATTTCTTGCTACTGCTGCAGCTGCTTCCTCCTCCTCCTCCTCCTCCTCCTCCTCCTCCTCCTCCTCCTCCTCCTCTTCCTCCTCCCTCCCTCCCTCCCTCCCTCCCTCCCTGCCCTCCTCCTCCTCCTCCTCCTCCTCCTCCTCCTCCTCCTCCTCCTCCTCCTCCTCCTCCTCCTCCTCCTCCTCCTCCTCCTCCTCTTCTTTGTTGGTCATGGGGCTTGAACTCAGGGCCTGAGAGCTATCCCTGAGTGGTTTTACCACTCTTGAACCATGGCTCCACTTGTGGTTTTTAAGTAGTTAATTGGAGATAAGAGTCTTACAGCCTTCCTGCCCAGGCCAGCTTCTAACCGCAATCCTCATCTTCCTAGTTACTCTTCATAGTTAATTGCCATTCCTCCAACCCCTTGTCAAATCACATTTTCAAAATTTATTCTCTTTGTCCTATTCAGTCTATGTGTTCAAGTCCAATTTGCTTCATAGGATCTTTCTTCCCTTGTGATTGCTCCTGTGTTGTGTAAAATTCATATTAAATAAATGTTTTTTTCTCCTGTTAATCTGTCTTATATCAATTTAGTTCTCAGGACCAGCTGAAAAACCTGTAGGTAGAAATAAAATGTTGCCTTCCCTATAGTTCTCAGCATAAAATATCTGTGAATTTACAAGTTTGACATGCCATATATATTTTTAAGTACATATAAAAGATATATCACTATTTGGATTTTTTAAAAAGTTCAAACAGGAACTACTTACATTCATCTCATATAAATATACACTGGGAAAAGTTCAAATAAAATAAAGAACATGACTACCTGCCGTGATCTCTGATATCTAATCTGTTTGAGTTCCTCTTTGTTCTTTTTAAAATTTTTTTCTATTATTATAAAGATGCTGTGCATAGGGGTTACAGTTACACGAGTAAGGCAATGTCGAGCATTGTTACTCCCTCCCAAGTTCTCCTACTCCTCTTTGTTCTTGAACAGAGAGTGGTTTATCTTTCAGCTGCCTCAGTTTCTTCTAAAAATGAGAAAAATCAAAATTACCAAGCCAGTTAGTGGCTAATAGCCTTCCATGCTGGAGTGATGTCTTATAAAGGCTTGGTGAATAATAGCTTGTCTGAAAATCTTATTCAGTAAGTTGACGTGTTTCTAGGAAATATTTTTAACATTGCATTAGTTATTCCAATCATTTAGCTCTCTTTTCCCTTCCCCACCCAGATCAAACACAATTAAACAAACACAATGTGAGCTTTCATTGTGTTGGCAAGGATAATTATAAATGTGTGTGTGTATGTTTATTTAAGTAATTTTAAACTAACCTAAGTGAGCTGAGTAAAGTAAGTGTGTGCTATGATTCCCAGGAATATTAAGAAGCTAAATATTGGAATTAGCTCTGGCAGTGAGTTAAGAAAGAACTGGCTCACATCTCTTGCATAAGATTTATCTAAGAGAGTATATTGGTGCTTACACATTTACAGTTATCTATAACATCGGGGGAAAAGCAAAGTACCCTGTTGATATTTGCTTAGGCCTTCTCAATTGCCACAGGAACTTTTCTAATGCTTGATAAGAAATGTACTCATTATCTTGCCCATGTAATTGTAACCCCTCTGTACAGTATTTTCACAATAAAAAAAATCTAACAAAAATAGTAGCCTTCTGATTCTAAAATGAATAAAGAAAGGAAAGGGGGAAAACCTGATTTTTTCCCCAGTATTTACCATCAGAACACATTTAGAAGTAAAGCAAAAGAATGATATGATGAGATTTGTAGTAAATAAATTAGGAGTTAAGTATTTACATTTTTCTTATATAAACAATAGCTAGACTTAGCAGTTTTCTGATAAAACTTGACTTTCCAAGTCCGTATTCAACTCATAGGTATTATAGATTTGTCCTACACCTTATAAAATAGTTCCTCTAACTTTAAAGCAGAATCATTATTCTAATCATTTTACATTGTTAAAGTGGTTTCAATTGAATATGATTTTCAGATATATTGACAAAAACATAAATGAAAGTCAGATATTACATAGACAGCCTTTTCTCTTACATAAGATTATAGCATGCTTTGTTCTCATTATAATGTGAATGTGTGTATTACAGAGGTTTTGGTTTTGTTTTTTTTTTTTTTTTGGTTGGTCGTGGGGCTTGAACTGGGGAGAAGGGCGGGGAGCTCTATCACTTGAGCTACATCACCACTTCTGGTTTTCTGGTGGTTAATTGGAGATAAGAGTCTCACGGACTTTCCTGCTTGGGCTGGCTTTGAACCATGATCCTCAGATTTCAGCCTCCTGAGTACCTAGGATTACAGGTGTGAGCCATCAGCGCCCGGCCTGTATTAATAGTTTTATGAATATGTTTTTTCATGAACTATAATTTTAGGGTCCTACAAGCAGCATGTGTACATATACAAATATTCTCACTTGCTAGAGGATTTAAGAAAATAATTTCTCTGACTTTATTTTCTCTATTAGAAAATGAACAGTAGCATCTCCCTTTTAGGGTGTTATGAGAATGCAGGCCTATTTATTCATTTTTATTCCTCTATCTTTAGATAGAGTCTTGCTTTATAGCTCAGACTGACATGGGGCTAATAATCTTCCTGTCTCTGCCTTCAGTGTGCTGGAATTATTCACTGCCAAGCCCAGCCCAAGGATTTAGATCTAAATAACCAATTTTGTTAAGTGTTTACTATATAACTAGTATGATCTCAGCACCTTAATCTGGAAAATAAACCCTATTTATTTAATCATTATAGCCACTCTACTAGGTGGATACTACTATTATTCCTTCTTTCTGAATGAGAACACTTCAGAATAAATCATTTATCCTATAAGTTATACAAGAAGATATGACATGAAGTTGCTGGGAATTTAACTCCAAAATCTTAATGAATATGTGATAATAAATACATAACCCTAGCAAACCATGTGCCCATATGAAGCTGGGCTAGAAGTCATTACATCTACCTCTCCTCTTTCTAGAAAGAAAATTATGCAGTAAGGTAACATATGCTCCATGAATTCTAGATACCTACTGATCCAGAATGTAGCTATAGATACCATTAACCACTTGCTTTGCAATTTTAGCAGCTTGAGGTAGTGGGAATTAAAAGCAGACTTAGTGATCTATTAAAAACTAGAATAATTAAGATAAACCTGAAACTTCTAGATCAAGAAAGCACAAGCTTTATGGTAGTTTTTCGGGGAAAAGAAAGTCTGTAAATGTATTTGACTGATATTAAACAAGCCATGGAGTCCTGGCTGTTTTAAGGTAAGGATTGGTCAGAGCCATAAAGCTG